TCAGAATATAATTGCAGATTTTTGGTAATTATTCTGTATCTTCAATCTACAAGTAAAAAAAAAATAAAGGCAACAGAATTACTGCAGTTATTAGGAATGATTAGCTTGTGATTGCTACAGCTATATGTTGACTCATAGGTAGCAAGAACATAGATCAAGGAAATACAGAAAGGATAAATCAATTATAACAAATGTGAGAGGCAGGATTTTAGTTGACATGAAGGTGGCGGGTATTTCTCTAGGCTCCTTTAATGAGAGTTGGGATTGTTTCACTAGTGCACACTTGTTGTATTGCATTAAAGAACATCAAGAGCACAGAATTGGATTCATCATAATATTGGTTCATAAAGCACTGTAATCTTTTATATACACAGAGATCTCTTGATTTATTTTGTTCTAGTAAGTGATGATGACTTGCTTAATAGCTCGAAAAATAACTCAGCATCCCTGATAAAATGGAAGAACAAAAGCGTTACAAATAATCTACATGCTCCTTTTTTTGCTACATTTATCAACTAGAAAAGCACAGAATTTAGTGATAATCTGTCAACACTTGTCTGTTTCCTGTTTCTTTACTGAATATATCCTGTTCTGTTAGAGAGGAGACCTTGGTGGTTTTGTGGAGAGTGAAATGAAAGGAACTAGATAAAAATCTTCTCCTGACTCTTCAACTTGTTTTATTTATTTGGGGGCCAACACAGCCCACTTATTTGACTGTTTGCTTGAATACATTCTTTTGCTCCTGCAGATGGACTGTCCACCTCTCTTTACCTTGCCCTGGGTATTACAAGGCAGACCCTCATAGACTGTACCTGTGGTCTTCCTTATCTCTGGGTGCTGCTTGGGAGCAGACAGTGGGAGCATCAGCAGGAGACTGGGAAGTGGGAGCAGAGTGAGCTCAGTATTTCCACCCTGACAGGTGGCCTTAGGTTGGCTGCATCCTTCCCCAGAGCCAACATATGGTGTCATCTACCCCAGAGCCAGAGGTTTATGGTCAGAAACCAAGAGGTGCAGGTGGGAGTGGCCATTCCCCTTCATACCAATGAAGCCATTGGAGAAATTTGTTTCTTTTCTCCTAGGGCCCTGAATCCACAGGCTTGGAAATCTGATGTCCAAGAAACAATGCTTTTGTTGGGTGACATGGTGATAGTTCTTCAACTTTCAACATTTGATAGAAATCAGAGCAAAGATGCCCATTAGTGAAATCCATAGAAATTAGCCTAAGGGGGTACAGAGCATTGTGGAGAAAGGTGGAGGATCCATCCTACAATGTGTGTAATTCTGCTAGGGATGATCTCATTCCTGCATCTGCATGTGGATAAAAGAGACTTAAAGAAAGCAAGGAAATTATAGTACACTGTTAATAAGAAGACTGGGTACTTGTGTCACTCTCTGCAGTAGCTGGTATCTGTCTTGCACAGGGGAAAACACACACTCAGCCCAAGAAGATACTCTGAGCTCTGTGTCGCTATAGGATTTTTGGAAATTATTGAAAATGTAAGGAAGCAGGAAAAACTACCCATCATCTTTCACTCAGGCAGCCTTGTTAATACTTGGACATATGTCTTTCTCTCTTTTTTTTAAACCTCTGGATCATAGCCTTTGTTCTGTTTAGTATGTAGTATTTTCATAGTTACATCTTCTTTCTTAAATAAAGGTTTGTAGAGATCAAAAAAAAAAACAAAAACAACAACAACAAACAACAAAACAACATGACAACCATGAACCTTGTCTCTAACTTGGCAGACAGAGGGAGTGGGAATCAGGAGAGAAAATAAGATTTTGCTTTGTAAAGAAGCCAAGCTTGTTTGAGAAGAAGGGAGAAAAGTGATCAGGACAGAGCCAGTTACAGGCCTTTCTAACTGTCAAATTGCACATGTTGTGTTTAAGTGCTTAGAAATATGCAGTGATTTTTAATATTAGGAAACATGTTAATTCTTTTTTAAAATAAAATTCAAAAACAGTACATATTTTTGGTAAGACAATTTTGGACATATGGAAGTGACAGAAAAAAACTATCCTGATCCCAATGTGTAGAGGTGACCTCTCCAAAGTTGTGCCCTTTCCTCTGCCGAGGCTATGTCCCTGAACCAGTACTCAGGGCCAAACAAAAAGACCTCTCAACACACAAGAGTCAACATGGATTTCCAGGCATGCCAGACAATTTTTAAATTGTGATTTGCACAAATGGGAATCTGAGGTAACAGCCAAAATACTAGCATGTGTGTGCAGTTGGTAATGGATAATATATCTATGAAAATCCTGATATTAAGATACTCTTAGACTTACTCAGCCTTAATTTGATACTATAATGTTGGTCATGTAATTCAAAGTCACTGTGTCTCACATACCTCAGGAATGAAAGAAAATGAGTTGATCCCAAATCATCAGGATATTTCAAGCATTCATCTATACAAAATCCCCCACCCATGAGGTAATATGAACCCCTTTCTAATAGTCAAAATATCACAACAGACATTGAGAGATCTACCACTATACTCAGGCCTATACATTCGAATAAGACACTTTCAGTTCTTCTATGAATTAGCCATTTAAACAACCATTTAATTAACAAATATTTACTTAGGACAGGAGGGCTGGTTGGCCTCTGGCTGGTTTTCATTTGGTGTGTGTGGCCAAAGTGTCCGTGGTGAAGCTCACGTTATCCACAAGGAGAAGGCAGGAGCAGGACATGACTCCAAATATGGGCTTGCTTTTCCCTCCACATAGGGTTTGTTTGCTGCATCCAGAAGGCCACTGTCCTCTTAGGATGTAACTCACAGGCACTATGGAACTGTGTCAAAAACTGAGATTTGTGTTGACTTGGGATGACTTCTCATGACAATGACTTCATATTTAGCTAATTTCTCTCTAACCAAACTAATAATCAGCTCTCAGAGTCACTGCTCTGTGGTCAGGCACTGAGAGGAAAGTGTTGAGTTGTATCAGGACAGTGGGGAGGACAAATGAAGGAATAGTCCTCAGAGGGAAGATAGGTTTCTGCCCCTCCAACTCCACCCCTTCCTGCACATGCTGGAGGTCTTAGCCTTAGGCCTTCAGTAGAGGGTAAGGGGTGGGTGTTAGCTGAGCGCTGTCAAAAGAAGGCATGTCTAAATTATAAATCTCCCATTGCAAAAACAGAAGCTCAGGGAGACAGAGGAGGAGTAGTGAGCTTGAGGGACCAATGTCCTTCAGATCATTTAGACTTTCCTTTCATTAACCATTTTTCTCAAGGCAACTAAGCTGTATATAGACTTTGAAATTTCAGTTGAAAATGGGTTTTGTTCAGCTTATACCTCCTCAAAGGGCTTTTTCTTCTTCCCCACATACAGCAGTAGGTGTTTTCCTGTTTAGGGCCAGAGAATCAGTAACACAGATTTTCTTTTCTTTTCTTTCTCAAGAAGTTGACTAGCTTTATAAGAAGGCAGTGAACATATTGCTACCTTATTTCTAAAATTGTGCTTTAATACAGAAATAAGTCCTATAATTTCAGCAGGTAGGTCGCCTCAGCCTACAGATGAGAGAACAGAGGTGTAGGAAAGCTGTACTCAAAACCCCATGTGGGGTAGTATTCAAGAAGTGGAAGGTAGAAGGCCCGGGTCTCAGGGTTGATTGTGTTATCCTGCACTGAGAACCATGTCCCCCCATAGGAGCTTGAGCTCCAGGTATGCCAGTGGATGAGGGTGCTGAGAAGTTGAGAGATACTGTGCTTTTAATTACTGACTCCCCCCTGTAAAGTAATTAATTGTTCACAGGGCAGCAACTTAGAAAGTAGAATCCGGAGTTGACTCTCATTCTCAGCTTTTAACCACTTTGCGGCAAATCTCCAGAGAGTCCTTCATCCGTAACATTATTTGCATAATATTTTATTTGCACATTTTTCAAGGAGATGATCAGAATCTTAACTTGCCAGTCTAGGAGCACCTGGGTGGCTCAGTTGGTTAAGCGGCGGACTCTTGATTTCAGCTCAGGTCATGATCTCAGGGTCCTGGGATCGAGTCCCATATTGACTCTCATTCTTCCTCTACTCCTCCCCCATGTTCACTCATGCACACACACTCTCTCTTTCTCTCTGAAATAAATAAATTAAATCTTTAAAAAATTGCCAGTCTATAACAGTACTATTCAACAGAAATAAATGTAAGTCACCAATTTGAGACATGAATTAAAACTTTTCTATCCACTGCATTAAAGAAGGTTAATAGAAAAAATTAATTAATTCTAGGACTATTTTTATTTAGTCAAAGATATGCACAGGGCACCTGGGTGGTTCAGTCAGTTAGGCAACCAACTCTTGGATCTTGGCTCAGGTCTTGATCTCATGGTTATTAGTTCAAGCCCCATGTTGGGCTCCATGCTGAGTGTGTAACCTCCTTAAAAACAAAAACAAAGATATTGGGGTGCCTCAGTTTGTTAAGCATCTGACTCTTGATTTCAGCTCATGTCTTGATCTCACAGTGATAAGTTCAAGACCTGTACTGGGCTCCATGCTAAGTGTAGAGTGTACTTTAAAAAAAAAGGTATCTAAAATATTATTTCAACATACAAATTGTTAAGAAATATCATACTTTAAGTTTGATAGTCTCCAGAATGTGACTTGTGTGCTACACAAGCAGCCCATCTCAGCTTGGACTAGTCTACTAGTTACATTTTAAGTGCTCAGTAGCCACTTGTGGCTAGTGGCTAGAGGCTACTGTATTGAGCACCACTGTTTCTGCTCCAAATGCTTCAGAAATGACACTTGCATAATCTTCAGAAAAGTCCCTCCAGGCTGGACAGCTCCCTGGATCTATGCCAGTCTGAGTACCAGGGGCTCCTTGGCCTCCAGGATTACATGGACTACACACGTGTAGGGAGTGTCCACAAGAGTCTGAGATGCTGAAGGGTGACCCCAAGGCAACCCCAAGGATTCAGGGGTGGTTGAAGTGCCAGGCCTGGAGACCCAGAGTCAGAGAACTTTGCTCAGGGACCTGGTCAGCATATGGGGCTGTGTGCTTCCCAGGCAGCACAGTAGTACACGGCTTCATCGTTCTTCTCCAGCTTCAGCACCAACAGGCTATCGCTGGTGACATCTTTATCTTTTATGGCAATGATTTTATCTGCTTTCAGGACTGAATCCTTGTGCACAGAAAATCCAGACACTTTCAGTCTGAGGATCCTCTGGGGGGCCGTATGTTCCTGGTGACGGTACCAGTGGATATAGCTGATCTTGGTGCTGGCTTTGCAAGGCAGAATGGCCAAGCTGCCCATGCGTGCCACAACCACGGATGGCTGCTCCAGGCTGAATGCCACCAAACCACCTGTGAGGGGGACTGCTGTGAGCCTGGGGTGGCCTGGAGCTTCAGGGCACCCCACACACTCCTCACCAAGGAGAGAGTCTGGCCTTACCAGGAAATAAGAGAGTGCACAGGAAGGCAAGGAGACATATCATGGTCTACTTCCCACCTGGTGGAGAGAAGCCCAGGGTAACCTTGCAGCTGCACCTGCTGGGAGGAGACCAACTGGGTGGGTGGCAGAGGACCGGTTAGGGACTGAGCCTGTGCTTCCTGGTGGCCCTGGCAGGTACTGGTGAAAGAGAGGGAGCCGGGAGGGAGGAGCCCAGAAAGCAAAGACAGTGAAGGTCAGGGGGTGGGACCAGGTGCTGTAGTTCCAGTGTCAGATCCTCAGAAATGGTAAAGGCAGGGCCTCAGGAAGGGTCAGCTGAGGAACGCATCTGAAATGAAGCTTGTGAGGAGTCAAGGTAGCGTGGACTTCGGTCTGAAGTGAAGGTTTCTTTTTGGGTGTGCCAAATATACCAGGAACTCCTGGGTGTAGTTATGACAATTAGTTGTGCTAATGATAGTGTGTCAGTCTGGAAGGAGAAGGCAGTGGGGATGCCTAGGAAGGGGACTTGGTTGGGGCAAGGAGGATTGGATCCTTCAGCACTTGATACCAGACCTAGCTCCTGAGATCTTCCTCTTGGTCAAAGCTGAAAGGGAGACATGCTGAGCTATAACCAAGATTTAAGGCTCAAGTGTCCCAGAATACAAGCTTTGAGGTTGTACTGAGTTGATGATGTGGTGACTAGAATAGTCTGCTAAAAGAATATTCCAGGGCCATCATTCAGACTCTCAGCAGGTGTCTAGGGCAGCTGTACTAAAATATTAAGCGGGAAAAAGAGTGAGAATGTGGGTGACATCTGCACAGTAAAATGACAAGTGGGAAATGCCTCAGTATAGAAGATGAGCAATGGGGGTGGTGAGAAATTGGTTGAACGTCTCTTTCTATTTTCTTCTCTTTTCTAGACTTTCACCCAATAAAAAAAATCTTCCTTTGCGGAAAAAATTTACAACCGTCTATTCTTTTATGAAAATAAATTTTATTTCACTTTCAAAACTCTTAATCATTTCTCATAGTTATTATAAACGTTTCTCTTCAAACACTGCTGAAATTCAAGGCTGAACAAGTGTTGGCCATGATGAGACCTACTGTGTAATGAAGTCTACCCCAAACCTCCAGCCAAATACTCTCCTGGGTATGTCAAATGATAAAAGTAAAACAATTTAGCGTGTAAAGCGTGGTGTCCTTTATTCAAAGGAGAACAATCCATGGATTGGAGAGTTCAGGGCCTCATAAGCAGTGGAGCACTCTGCCCCAGGGATTCAGAGCAAGAGGGAGTTTTATAGAACCTTAGAAGCAGCAAAAGGGGAACAGGCAGGATGAGCTGGAAGGTCAGGGATTTCCTCCCAAGGCTGGCACGTCAGGCCGGTGTATGGAGATAGTATTTAGCTTAAATTTATTGACTGAGATTGCGTATTTAATCTTAATTAGATCAGGGAAATCATTACACATTCTTGATGTTTGGGGCTTGGTTGGCTGGGATAGCCTGTATTTCTGGTCAAGGGCAGCCTTTACAGGAATAGGAAAGTTACCTAAGCTTTAGTTTGCAGACTTGATACTTCAAGCAGGAGCGCCTCCATCCTGGGCCTGCACAACTATTTCAACAGGTGATAATTGTTTTCCTGTCCTCTACTTCTCTTCCTTCTGTGGTGTGTCGGTGGTATTCTCCAAGTGACACTGAAAGTATATATTTGTCTAAAAGGGACACATGTTCCCTCCTTTCCCTTTTAATCCCTTTCACTATTTCTTATATTTCCCATATGAGTGAAACCGTATGATGATTGTCCTTCTCCGACTGACTTACTTCAAGCAAAGGAGAGAAAGTGAGTGGGAAGAATTAGAGAGGGGGACAAATATGAGAGACTCCTTACTCTGGGAAAGAAACAAAGGGTTGTGGAAGGGAAAGTGGGCAGGGGATGGGATGACTGGGTGATGGGCACTGAGGAGGGTACTTGATGGGATGAGCACTGGGTGACATACTATATGTTGACAAATTGAACTTGAATTTTAGAAAAAAAAGACACATGTCTAGAAAGTAATAGAAGAAAACTCCTGAGCAGCAGAGAAGAAGAGGTAAGACTTCCCCTACCCTCATGAGGAGAGTAGAGGGTTCTGCGCAAGACCCCCTGGTCCCCAGGAAGAGAGAAATCAGGTGGCTGTGGAGGGAGCAGTACTTCCTGGCCTCCCAGGTCATCCTGCTGCTGCCATGAATACAACTGCTCTGATGGCCCCAGACCTCAGCCCCAGGGGAGAGGCAGGTAGGTCAGAGCAGGTGTGGACTCAGGCCGACCCTGTGCAAAGAGCCAGGTGCTGAAGCTTGGACCTTTTCATTTAAACTCTGAGAGGCTGGCCTGCTCTCCCTGACATGAGACAGTTCCCTTGTGACCACGAGAGAGTCTGAGATCTAATCCAGTTTCACTTCTTCACTAGGTTACAGGGAATAAGCTGGATGTCCAAATCACCACTCAACATGTCAGACTAGATAGTTGTTGACAGTGGAGGAGAGAGGAAGACAGACTAGGGCACAGTTCATGCTCCTGGGCCCCCTGCTGCTCAGTGCCCCCCCCAGCCCCCAGCTTCCCAGACAGCAGCCCCATCCCCTGCTAGGGCGGTGGCAGGGCTGGACCAGGACAGTTTCCAGAAGAGTCCAGGGGAGCCCAGAAACCTCAGCCACAGCCTCACATCCTTCCTGCTTTTCCCACAGGCTCCGAGGCTGCCAGGTGCACAAAGTCTGCAGGGAACAGCTGGTTCAGACCCAGTCCCTGTGCCTGCCAGCCTCCCAGATCTGCTCGCCTCATGGATCAGGGGTCCAGTCTGGGGCCCAGCCCTCTGAGCACCCAGCGATGTGGTCTGATCAGTGGTGCACTGGGGGGAGAGGTCCTTCCTATATGGAACTGCCAAAGGGGAGCCCTGGAGGCCGAATGACACCTCCTTACTCTCTGAGGTTTTATTGTATCGACAAGGACAGAATGACAGCTCCAGTCCAAGCCCTGCCCCTTGGGGGACATATGTCTTTGGGAAAGTAACTGTGCATGGGAATAATAATGCTCACTCTGGAGACATCCCCCACCATGGGCCTGGGATTGGGCCAAATTGGTTCCTTTGTAAATAAATAGCATTAGCCTTACATAAAATGTGATTCTTATAACCATTTGTTCCTTATAATAACATACTAACATAGTTAGACCATCCAAACTTGATAGATCGGTGAATGGAAATCTTAAAACATTTCACTTGCTCAGAATCATAGAAGTATTGAAGGCTTTATTAAAGCCTTAGTCTGACAAAGTCCAAAACCCATGAACCCATGACACCATCCATTCCATATATACAGATTCAACGTGTGTGTACAGAGAGACAGAAAGAGAGAGAGAGAGAGAGAGAGAGTTTCCTTTAAGCTCTAAAGGGGCCATGAGGAAAGTTTCAGAGAGCTTGCAGAACTCAGGAATCTCTCTCACTTGCCAGGAGCAAGGAGCAGAAGCTGTTCTTGAGGAGCCGTCATTCAGGTAACGGTGCTGGACCCAGAACGTAGGAGAGATTCCTCCAGCACTTGTGAATTAAGAGTTGCTTGTCTTTTTTGAGAAACTAATTTTAAAGGTTGTAACAGAAACCATCCATTAAATAATAACAAATGCACTCTATCGAGTGTCACACGCTGTACACACCGATTCCCTCCCTGCAAGCCTCAAGCAGGTGCCATTCATCCCATTCTGCAGATGAGACAGAGGCTTAGGGAGGTGGAGTCACCCACCTGAGATTGCCCAGCTAGGAAAGACACACGGAGAACCTCCAGTCGGCCAGGCTCTGAGGCCTGTGCCCTACGTAACCTGCGTGGATGTTTGGGATTCAGGGTTTAATTTTGCCCTCACTGGGCTGTTGCTTTGAATGCGAATTGTGGTCCTGTCTTTAGTACTGAGATTCTGGGTTAAAAGCTGCAGTAGTTGGCTTGCTCCTTCCTCTGTCTTCTGGCCCCCCCTGCTGGGCGCTGCAGGCAGGTCCTATAGGGACAGTCCTCTGGGTGGAGCCCAGGGAAGTGGTGTCTGTTACTGCAAAGGACCTGCTGGGGGACGGGAAGGGCCAGACCTACCAGGCAGGAAGCCTACTTTCCCAGGTGTGGACACAGTGTGCTTGGCAGTTTTAGGTAAGGGGATTCTTCCTGCAAGGCCCCCGTTTCCCAGCCTCAAATGAGAATATTGACTGATATGTTTGGTGTCCTCTGTACCTGTGAAAACTGTAGAGATTTGCCCGTGAATAGTGCACATTTACGTGTATATAAATGGCCTAGCATCCCTGTCAGCCCATGTCTGTCCATGAGTCTGTCCCCACAGTTCACTGCTCCCCTGTGCTGCAACTTGTACCACTGCTTGCAGCCACGGCATTGATCCATCCCCTGACAGTGACAGGCACTTGTACTGCTCCCAGACTGGCTGTCACAGCAAGGCTGTCCCCCACCCCTCGAGGCTCTGCTGCTGGGCGTCAGCATTTCGCTGGGAATCTGATCCCCCAGTTCCTGACCTGGGAAATACACATGCATGTTCTGTGTAAACACTGCCTGTGCTGTCACCTGACGTTTAACGTTTCACCAACCTGAGGGCGACCACACAGGGTCAGGTGGTTTGAGGAGGTGATGGGCACCTGCCTGATGATGAGGACGCTGAGGGGCTCTCTTCATACCTGGCACCCATGGAGATTCTCCCTCAGAGACCAGCTTATCCATGTCCTTTAGGTGCCGCCAAGGGGAGTTGGCTTGCAGAGGCTCCAGCATCCAGCAGAGCCAGGCTACCTGCGCTGTTCCCGGGCCCCCTGTCCTGGCTGTAAGCCCTGGAGTCCGTGCTCACACCGCTGTTTCTAAGCTCCTCATCTGCAGAAAGGAAAATCAGCAACTACCTCATAGGTTTATGAAGATTAAATAATGCACTACGTGCAGTAAGGAGGGTGTCCGGCAAATGAAGACTGTCAGTTACTTTGTATTTACTGTTAACAACAATGTAATAATGTTATAAATACAAAAAAAATAGACATAATACAAGTATTATAATACATCATTGAAAGCATGCTATAAATGTCTACAATAGCCAAACTGTGGAAGGAGCCTCAGTGCCCATCGAAAGATGAATGGATAAAGAAGATGTGGTCTATGTATACAATGGAATATTACTCAGCCATTAGAAACGACAAATACCCACCATTTGCTTCAACGTGGATGGAACTGGAGGGTATTATGCTGAGTGAAGTAAGTCAATCGGAGAAGGACAAACAGTGTATGTTCTCATTCATTTGGGGAATATGAATAATAGTGAAAGGGAATATAAGGGAAGGGAGAAGAAATGTGTGGGAAATATCAGAAAGGGAGACAGAACATAAAGACTCCTAACTCTGGGAAACGAACTAGGGGTGGTGGAAGGGGAGGAGGGCGGGGGGTGGGGGTGAATGGGTGACGGGCACTGAGGGGGGCACTTGACGGGATGAGCACTGGGTGTTATTCTGTATGTTGGCAAATTGAACACCAATAAAAATAAATTTATTAAAAAAGTGTGCTATAGATAAAAATGAAGATAAAATGATATAAAAGTTGAATTACTAAATTATTTAAGATTAGAGGAAATGTTATAAAATACTTTTACACTTGAATGATTTAAATCTCTTGGATATTTATCCTTTGTGAGTTTTAGCCTATAAATATCCTCAGCTAATTTACCTTCTGTCTAAACTTTGGCTAAGGCATTTGCATTAAATACAGATTCTCAGTTTTGTAGTCAATCTCTTGTTGGCCACAGACTTTGCACACTCTGGAATCCTGATTAGGGAAACACGTCCCCCTCCAGCACCACCAAAGCATTCTATCCTTTCCCGGGATATCCAGTTTGAGATTAGAGTCCCTGCTGAGCCGAGCATTAGCATGTCTGGACTTCTGTGAACTCCTCATCCCTCAGTCTCTCCTTTATTGGCTCTTTGCACATAAGATCCCTGCAGTAGGTTCAGAGCACAGAGGAGGTCAGCAGAGACATTTTCAGTTATGGGAAAATGAAGTAGTAAGTGGTGTTGATTTTACACGGAATTCAATAAGAACCCCCAGTGGTGCTGGTGGAGAAGTAAACCGGTGGAGCACGCTAATCACACTCATTACTAACATTTTGTATATTTATAAAAGGTTATCCACCTATCGGCTTTACAATGGACACTTCTCTAACAAAATGCTTCCTATAGGCCATTTGTTGAATTATATTGTACACTTGAATCTGGTATAACACTATATGGTAATTATACTTTATTTTTTTTAAAAGAGCTTGTTTCTCCTTCTCATTGACACATGCTAGAGGTTATCTGTTGGATGACAGGCATTGTAGCAGATGTAAACTGGTATCTCCTTGGGGTTTCATTTGCCCCTACCGACTAAATTGTGAAAACATTTACATGTGCTTATTAGTTACCCCTATATCTTCTTGAGAAATGTGTCTTTTAACCCTTTTATTTTTCTTTGAAGTGTTATTGAGTTAAGTCCTACTGAGTGGGAAATCTTTATGCATTCAAGATAAAAGGCCTTAATAAGATGTATGAATTTTTCTCCCAGGCTGTAGTCTTTTCATTTTCTTCAAGGGGACTTTTGAAACCCATGTTTTAGGTTTCGATGAAATCCAGTCTATCAGAATGTATTATTTTATGGATAATGTGTTTGGGGTCATATCTAAGAACTCTTTGCTTTAATCCTGTATCACACAATTCCTTCCTCTGTTTTCATCTAGGAGTTTTTAGAGTTTTACCTTTTAATTTATGGTCCATCATGAAATACTTTTCATGTATAGAGGAGCAAATGAAAGAAATTTATGCTTCTGCCTTGCAATATCCAGTTGTAGCTGAGTCAGTTGTGGAAAAGACTATCTCATCTTGCACCAAAGTAACTCAACACATTTATCAGAACCCTGTTGACCAAACACAAGAGATTATTTCTGGACTCTCAGTTCTCTTCCAGTGACCTTCATGTTTCTTTGTACCAGCAGTACTGCCTAAATAGTGTAACTTAATCCTTCTGTAAACTCTGAAATCAGGTCCTGAAGGCCTTGCTGGAAAGGCCCGCCCTGCTGCCTCCAGGACCTCATGGGTCAATGAGAAAGCTTTCCTCATCCTCTGTGTGTGCAGCATCATCAGTATCTCATCCAAATCAAATCTTATGTGTGTCCTCCCTCCAATGATTCTACAGGGTGACCATATCAGTCCCCCAAGTTTGGTCTCTTTCAAAATAATTAGGTCTATTCCAGGGTTTTGGGTTTTCATGTTAATTTTAGTGCAAACTTGTATATTTGTGTGCATAAAGTGTGCTGCATTGAATCCTTAATCCATTTGGTGAGAATTGTCATCATGGCAATATCGGAGCTTCTAATCCATGAACATGGACCCTCTCTGCATTTGTTTAGAGATTCTTTAATTTTAATCTGCATTGTTTTGTACTTTTTAATGTACAAAATTTGCTCTTGTGTTAAATTGATTCCTAAATGTTTTCTTCTTTTTGGTTCTATTAAAAACAACAGTAAATGGAACTGTTTCCTAAATTTCGTTTTCAAGTGTTGCATTCTAGTATATGGAAATCCAAATGATATTTTGTACATTGAATGTGTCCTTTGTGTGATATCTACCTTGTTTATCTTCTTTGGGCTTTGTGTGCAGGTAGATTCTCTGGAAATATCTACATACAGGGTCATGTCAGCTGTGGATGAAGTTATTTTGACTTGTTTTCAATCTACAAGAGAGTTTTACATTTTTTCACGTTGCACTGTCTAGAACCTTTAATACTGCGTTGAAGACAAGTGTCAGGAGCAGACTTCCCTGTCTTGTTGCTGATCTTTGGGAAAAGCATTCAGCCTTGCAGCATTAAGTCTGATGTCAGCTATGGGTTTTCACAGATGCCCTTTATCAAGTTGAGGAAGTTCTTCATTTTGTGATTGTTTCTTCTGCCAAAGAGAATAATCTCTTGATTCCCTCAAATGACAGTATTGTTCCAAGTTATAAGTTTTCTAACCTAGATTTTACTTCTTTTATATAAATATTCTATTTTGTAGTTTTTGCCATACTTCATTAGAATAGATTTTTTTTACTTTTTGTTGTCGTATTTTCCTTTAGGTTTTGCAACATGATTTTCTCTATTTATTGAACACATTTCTCATAGCTACTTTAAAGTATTTATCTCCTAAGAAAGTATCTGCACATCCTCAGGGCAGTTTATATTGAATTGTAAGGGGGTTTTCCCCTAAGAATAGTCACTTTTGTGAGTCTGCGTGGCTGTTATTTTTTTAGTGAAAAATATCTCATTAAATGTATCTTGTGGGCAACTCTAGATTGTGACTTGTCCCCAAAATGTTGCTTTCATTGTTGCTTTTATGCTGAGAAACTTGTCTGTACTTAATCTGTGATATTATATCCCCTGTAGTATGGCCTACTCATGCTTCTGCTATTTTCTTATTAAATTATTATATTTTTCAGCCTCGCTTCCTGGGTTCACCCTGTGTCTACATAATATCATGGTCACCAAAATTACTTAAGGAAAGACTTGGACTCTGACAAATAGTTTTGCTGTAGGTATTGGGCAGCACATGAATATTTTAGGCAAATAGATAGCCTACATGTGGTAAAGTATAAGTCTTCCCAGATTATACTTTTTCTGAGTCTTGCCACGGCTCCTCTGCATATGCCAATCACCTGAACGCACACCAGCAGCGCTTGACTGGCTTGGGCATTTTGGTGTCTCTGCTAAGCATGCACACAGCCGTAGCTGAACATGTGCCTGCTGCAAGCATGACCACCACATCAGGCCAGCAGAGCGTCTGGCTTTCCTGCTTGAAACCACACGAATTGTTAGTTCACCATCACATCATTCCCTACCCCAAATTAACTGGGCTCCCTTACACTGTGTAATTTTGCTGCAGGTTCTCATGGGTTCCTGATTTTGGAAGAACCTTCATGTCCATAATGCTCAGTGTTGGGAGGTTGGGAAAGAATAGTAGCCACAGTAGGCAAGTGCATTGCTGGTGTTCCCTAGATCTGTAGCTTTCCATTATATTTTCCTTTTTCTTGATGGCTTGAGCATTTACTGTGCTGTTGTATACTACATAAATATAACTTAAAGTGGATGCAAGATATTTTATAGAAATATAATCATTCTTTTTCTTCCAATCTCAGACATTTAGAGATTTTCCAGTTTTTTTTTTTGAGATTTTCCAGTTTTAGAGAAAAAACTTTATATAATGGAAAACAAAAATTATTTTGTCAGAGATATTTGCTGAAAAAATAATTACAAAATATAATTACAGGGTCAAATGTGCATTTCTACAAGTCAGTTCAACTCCATTTGTGCTGCTCTGAGAATGAACCAAGTGATGAAAGTGCCATGAGGAGGGATGTGGGAGGGTGAGGCTTAATCAAGTGAATTTCCTTATGTGGAGAAAGGATCAAGGAGGGTTGGGATCCTTGGGTGGCGCAGCGGTTTAGCGCCTGCCTTTGGCCCAGGGCGCGATCCTGGAGACCCAGGATCGAATCCCACATCGGGCTCCCAGTGCATGGAGCCTGCTTCTCCCTATGTCTCTGTCTCTCTCTCTCTCTCTCTCTCTCTCTCTCTCTCTCTGACTATCATAAATAAATTTAAAAAATGAGGGTCTACAGTTAATGGCTTTTGGACCTAAAAATCAAGAACTCAGTGGTGTGGTCACAGTTAGAGTATTCTGTCTCAGAAGTGGAGTTGCATATACACCAGGCCCACAGATGATGCCTAAGCTGGATGTGAGTGTATAATTTACCCTGGGAAAGAGCTCTCTCCCACACATGCTGGGCTGAGGCAGTAGCTTGGGGCCCCTATCATGGAGGCCATAGCTCACCCAGAAGATGGCTCTCAAGCATAGACCAAGAGGAGTAAAGTTGAAAGTGAGAAAGTGTTGTAAGTCAGACTAGGAAAGCTTAGGGTGGTGATCTCAGCAAAAGAAATTTGTTTCCCCAAGGACTGGACAGATTGTGTCCCAGGACTGGGGACCCTCTCTGTACTTAGCTTGGGTGGGGTGGACACAGGGACACTTGCTTCTTGCTCTCACATTGCTGAACAGCCCTCCTCTGCTCCACCCCAGCACGCTTACTGATGTGCATGCCTTTATTGAGCCTTGCTCAGCCTGACTCTGCAGTCACTTGTCCCTTTAGAGGGACTGAGATGACTCAGTCTGTGACATTCAATTCCACAGTTGAAGTAAGGGTCCCCATATGTCCGTGTTCTTGTGAGGAGAGAAGCACCTGCTGTTGTGACATCTACACACTGCCTGTGCCAACAGCCTCATGGGCAGGTGTCTCGTGTCACCCTGCCTACACTGACCAAATGAGACTGAAAGTAGGAGCCTCTATGAATCACCTGCCGTGGAAAAGCACAGATCCTGGTGCAATGTCTGTGATCACCTAGGGGGCTACAAGCTGTCTGAGTGCAATGCAGTTCCTTCAGAATGGTGTCATCAGAGTGGACTAAGGGTGCCACAGTCTTCCGTATAGCATCCCAACCCACCTAGCAGCTAGTGGAATGAACATGGCATAAAATAGGGGAACCCTCACCCACAGCCCAAGAGTGTGTTTGACAGCAAGAGCATGTGTGTGCAGATGGATGTTTTCTTTCCATTAGCTGTGGCCTTTTGGAAATGAGCAAGAGGGCTGTGGTTTAACTGTCCTTATTTCATCTTACAACACCTGAGGCACTTTGCACCCGCCTAACCAGTAGGGGTCGGTTTAATTTCAAGATTTCCAAAAATCAACTGCAGGTGAAAATGCACACACACAAAACTAAACCCGAGAAAATAAACATCATCATCACACTAACGGCCTCATCCCACCCCACTGTCGTCTGCACCACCACATTCCTCTATCTACACCTCCCAAGTCCAGGGCAGCCCAGGGTAGGTTGGGAAGTAAGGTGCTAAGGAGTTGGAAGCCACGGGAGACACTTCCTAGGAGCCTCAGCAAGGACATCAGCCACAGAGCTGCAAGTCATTGGCTACTTTCCCCTCATTGCCTCTGTGCTTTCCACATGCAGAAGCAGTTCCAGATCACTAATTAGAGGCGCAGGCATTTGTCCAAGGAGACCTGAACAAATTTTTGAGAATCAGAGAGTAGATCAAAATTAAATTTCTTCTACCTTTATTTGCTGGCTCTTCTGTAGTTTCCACATGGGAATCTCTACTTGGCTTCCAAATCACTCATTTCACAGAAGCTGAAGCTGATTGTAAAAAGAAAACAAAAATCAAAGATGCCTCAGTGGCTCATCGATTGAGCATCTGTCTTCAGCTCAGGGTGTGATCCTGGAGTTCTGGGTTGCAGATCTGCATGGGGCTCCAGCAGGGAGCCTGCTTCTCCCTCTGCCTGTGTCTCTGCCTCTCTCTGTGTAGCCCCCAGGAATAAATAAATAAAATTCAAAACAAAACAAAAAATCATTCCCATTTAAATGAGACATTGTTTCATTTCTAATATACCTAATTTATTGCTCTAAGTACTTTCATTACTGAAAATGGGAAAATATACAACTATTAACTTTTCAACAACTTTTCACATACTGAACATTTTGTTGTACATGTATGTTTGTAAAAATACAAACACACATATAAATAAGTACATACACACTTGTTAGTGTGTGTGCATGCAGGCCTGTTATCTATTATCTCCAAAGTATATGGCAATAGTAGATTCTAATGCTGTAGAGTGCTTGCATGTACCCAGCAGAATTAACTCTTACATCCACACAACTCAAGGTGACAGGGCACACTGTATCTTCATTTAATGCATGAGAAAATTATGTCACAGAAATGAAATAGCTTTAGGACCAAGATTTAAATACAGGCACTTGGGATTCAGAATCCAAGAATTTCCCTCCTCCACCACCCTTTCCTTTCAGTGTTAGTCCTGCTCTCATGGAGTGCTTATGAGATCAGGAAACATATTGTCCATAAAACACTGCTATAGGTCTGAGCACACCTGCCAATCATGTGACATGTTATATCATCACCACCCAAATGTTTTAAACCAGATGACTCTGAATCAACTGACCATTGAAGGGGAAATAACCTGGGTATCTTCTTCACTAGCTGTGGCTCTCCTGTTTGGGCCAGTGCCACAATGAGGCATCATTAGACCACCTCAGGGCAAGAATTAGGAATATGGAATTGACCACTATGACAACCAACACTGTATCTGAAGGCTCAGCTGTTATGCTGCCTCTTACATTTGACTCTCAATTAGATAGCACCAAATAAAAGCAGACATAGGCCAAAGTAGAATTTTGATTGCTTTTATTGTGCCTACTATGATAAACAGTACGAAATTCAGGTAGCAAGAATGAGTACTTTCAGGTATGTAAAATAAAGAGTTTCCAGGGAAGCATCTGGATAAATAAGAGTTCAAGGATACAGCTGGAAGCTGCATGTTGGCTGTACTCAGAGGCATGGGTACTAGGTGGTTGAGGAGCACTGAGGAGAGACCAGTGCTGAAGCCCCTGGGGATGGCCCCCTGTCCCCAACTCTGAGTCATAGCCAAATTTGTTCTCGCTGCAGAGTGAAAGTTTCTGTTTGTCCAGTGGTTTCTAAACCCATTCTCCATAATGGCACTATAGAGAAGACACATGTGGAATGAAATAACCCAATCTCAGAAAGAAAATCTCACTTGTTCCGCAGCAGACATTTTAGAATTGCAGCCAATGGGAATAATTGGATCGTGATGGCACCATGTGTTAGGAACACTTCCCAGTACCACTGAACGCTGGTCCCCCAAGCAAACAGATGGCAGTGATGATGGAGTACGTCAGACTCTTCATGAGGAGGAGGAGGAGGTAGGTATAGTAGGCAGAGGTGTTCATGAGCTGTACCTGCAGGGGGTCTAAAAGAAAGGATGTAATAATTTCACAGTTTTTTTGAAAGGCCAAGACGTATTCACTGCGAAGGTGACTGTATACAATTCTGATAATTTAGGTCAAGTGCCATTCTCTCACCAGCACAATGGGGTAGTAAATACTTATATCAACATCACCACCACCACCACCTAAGACAACTCAGAATGGAGTTTGCAGGGCAACTCAGTCAAAACCTGTGCAACTCACTAGTACATTCCAAAGTATTAAAAAGTAAATTTGTGTTTATAATGAATGAATCCAGTGGGGAAAAATACATTGGTGATAAGTGGCTTTTAGCACGTTCATCCCACATGAATCAAAGTAAGAATAAGAAGCAATATACATTAAGTACAAACTAGATGTCACTTATTTTGAGAACTTTGCATGCAAAGCTTAAATCTTACTTAATTTTACAGTAACCTCTGAAATGATTATTTTCATTCCCAATTGACAAATAAAGTGAGTACAGAGAGAGAAGCCATTTGCCTGATTTCATACAACCAGTAAGTACTAGAATCCAGATTTCAATCCCAGCAACACAGAATTAAAGAACACTTTCTCAGTTGCTCTGTAATTCTGCATCTTCACATTCAACAAATACCCAAGACTTCAAAATGACTAAGCAAAAATATAAAGTTGGAAGCTTCTGCTGCTGAAGCTGGTGATGATGTTGATGATGGTCAGAGTCCAGAATCCCCTGATATTGGTCATGGATGGTGGATCAGCAGGGCCAAAACCAATGCTTCTCATCATTTCCTTTGCTCATTATGTGGGGAAAAAGTGCCAAGTGCTAGCACCTATGATGTAGTAGCTAAAAGGGATGCCTAAGCTAGATATGACACATATGCCATGTTATATATCTATAACTCAGGTATGTGTTTTTGTGTTGATTTTATTGGGCTCAGAAATTGTGAATAGTTTACCCATACTCATGAAAAAGAAAATTAAAAAGCTAGAGTGTAAATTTAGTCTGTGGAACTGGAAGCCCTGTACTGAAACCAGCCTCCCCATGTGTGCACCTATCTCAGGGCCTTGACTTTGGGATTTAGAGGAAGAATAAAAACTGAGTAAGTGTGTGAACTTGGTTCATCTTGAATCAAATGGTGTAGGTGTCAGCCTTAGCTCTCGCTGTATGGCATGGAGACTGAATTCATTTCAGCTCATTGCCCTCATGTGTAAAATTGGAATATAATCCATCACAGTGAGAATAGGAGTTATAAACAAAATGCACTCACAGTGCAGCACAATGTCTTCTGTACAAGAACCTCTCAGTGTCTGTTAATGTTCTTAACTACCGGCAAGAATAAGGCTAAAAAATATAGAAGCAGCATGATATCATGATTTCCTCAGTCAGTAGAAATCTCTGGCACAAAAATGAATGAAATTCATTGTTGAAAGAATTCAGGGCACATCACTGCACTCCTGATTCATGGTCCTCTCACACCCAAACCAGCAGTTACTGTGTGAAGACGACCTGAGAGACAATGGATTGACATAAATATCACTCTCTATTTTACAAGATCCAGCCATTCTGAGGTTTCTCCCTGAAGCCAGGGAAGTTCAAAGTCTAAGCTGATCAGGAAGGAAAAATGCTATAGCATGACATAAAGGCAAACATAGACAAAAACTTACCATATTCATCATCCAGGGAAGCTTCTGTGGAGTTAATAGCAGCAGGTTCTAAAAGAAGTGAGGACAGGTATTGTTCATATGCATTGTTTGACATTCCTCTGTTTGAAGATAGAGGATAGAGATAGATAGATGATAGATAGATAGATAGATAGATAGATAGATAGATACATAGATAGATAGATAGATACATAGATAGATAGATAGATAGATAGATAGATAGATAGATGATAGATGGAATTTGTCAGCAAAGAGGAAGAGCCATTACAAACATGAGCCTACCAATTTCAGAAATTTTTTGTTTGATTTTACATAATTTAGTAGATCAATTCACATATTGTATTTCTGCACATAAAGATGTTTGTGAATGATGCACTTTTTCTCACACCTGGAGAGTAATGCCTAACATTATCTTCTTTCCTTGTGTGTTCATAGCTCGTAGCACAGTGACTACTCCACAGTATGTGTCCTATAAATACTATTGAATAGAAAAATAATCAGAAACGGTGACTGCTGTCCAGTCCTCCATATCCACTGCTCACATGAAGGGCTGCTACCAAAATGAATTTGTCCAACCCTGAAGCCACAGAGGCACTGTACATGTTGGAAGGAGTCTGGTTTAGGTAAATTTCCTATCTAAACCAAAGAAAGCATTCCCATCTTTCAAATCATGCATGCCCCATTATCCTCAACTCCTGCAATGATTTTCTGGACTGGTGGTGTTGGAGGACCTGACAACAATACTAAAGAAGGCCAAACCTACTGATTGATTGTTATTGTGCCAGGCACTATGTGGAAGCTCATAGGCATTATCTCATCTCCCCATTACATTGGTATGAGCTGAATTTGGAGAATTCCGTGTTACCTACAAGGAAATAAGATTTAGAGAGTCTGAATTTTTGCTGAATATCATACCAGTGATGATTGTCAGAGCCAGCACTGAAAGGATGATTGTGGGAGCATTGATGAACTAGAGCCTGTGGAAAGCACCTTGTAAAACAACCCATAGAAATCAAACATAATTCTGCCATTGTGGACTCTCAGGTAACATCTCTTCCATATAATTGAATTAATCTTAGCACTACCCATTTTATTACAAAAGCTCAGCATTTCTTTTTTTTTAATATTTTGTCATTTATTTGAGACAGAGAGTGAGCATGAGCAGTGGGAGTGGGCAGAGGGAGAGCAAGAAGCCAACTCCCAGCTGATTAAGGAGCCCAACTCTCAGCTCAAACCCACACTTTGGAATCATGATTTGAGCCAATGGCAGGCACTTAACTAATTAAGCTACCATGCAACCCTAAAAGCTCAGCATTTCATTGAGCATGTTTGCAGGGATAGAATGAAAGGCCACATCACACTATAATTGTCTGAATACATAAACCTGTTAGAGTTGTATTTATCTACAGTGTAGAAAAACAAAAAAAAACACCCAACATACATACAAACACAAAAGATCATTAATGATGATTGACTGTTGGATGCAGGAAGGGGAAGTTGCAAGTTTCCTTTGATTTATCCTTTTTCTGTTCGTGTGTCATTGTCCACACAAACATGGCTCTGGTGTGTAATTTTACCCACTCCAGACAGTCTTATGTTGGTGTGCTCTTGAAGAAATGGGTGTGAAGTATAGACTTTTGGTTACATATCAAGAAGGACAATGTTAGTATAACTAGGTCAAATGATAAAATATCCTAAAGGGCTTACTTTACAGTGCCTTAATGGTCTCTTTCTTATCCATACAGTGATTTTATTCATCATATTTGTACCTGAAACTGCAGAGCAGAGGGAGTCAATCAGTAAACATCCTAGTGCTGACTATGAAATTCCCATGTCCACTGGCTAATGGTGATAGTTCTTGGTATTGAAATTGCCGTTGGGTGGCTATGAAGACTTGGTTTACTGACTCATGGCCTTAAACTAAATGACTACATTGTGAGCCTGTGGTTTCCTTTACAACAACCTTCCCTTTTGATCTGATCTCAGCTTAGCTCAGAGATGGGATCAAAATTGAAGATATTAATACTGCTCGCAGCAACAGTGCTGAAGTTCTCAGTTTGTGTTGTTCCTCTGGGTGATATTCATGGGTCTTGACCTTTATGCTCAATCCTTGTAATATTCAAGGGTTACCACTTCAGCTGTATAATATTTAAATTGGACATTTTGTCATTCTTTGGTAATGTTCCAGTTTTAGAAAGATCATTTGTTTATAGGTTTCTGGCTTAGAACAGGCATGTAAAGTTTTTGAGAGAACAAAATCCACCAGGCAGATTATTATGATGTCTGTAACAGGATAATTCCCCATGTTTGGAGCGCTTTCAGATGTCATTGTCCCAATATTCAAAGCAATTAGAATCAAATAAGTAGGAAAGACCCTGCTGAAAGAGTTACTGAGTTTTACCTTCCCCAGTAGTGTTCATCTGGGTATAGCAAGTGAGGTGGCCTACAGCACAGATTCAGCCTTTCTCAGCGAAGAGATAATCGAGGGCTATCTTAACTTCAAGAACTGCTTTGGACAGAAAGTACATTCGGGTGCTGCTGAAAGTAGCTGAAAGTACATCCTGGTTTTCCCTTAGGCCTGACTCTGTTTAATACACTCCCATTGTTTATCCACCTTCATTTCTCTGTCAGAAGCAGACTGGTGCCATATTACAAGGACATCAGGACAGCCAACGTCTGGCAATGAGGGGCCATTTTTTTTATATATAAATTAATTTTTATTGGTGTTCAATTTACCAACATACAGAATAACACCCAGTGCTCATCCCGTCAAGTGTCCCCCTCCGTGCCCGTCACCCATTCACCCCCACCCCCCGCCCTCCTCCCCTTCCACCACCCCTAGTTCATTTCCCAGAGTTAGAAGTCTTTATGTTCTGTCTCCCTTTCTGATATTTCTCACACATTTCTTCTCCCTTCCCTTATATTCCCCTTCACTATTATTCATATTCCAATGAGGGGCCATTTTTTGTAGAATTGGAATGGACTTTATCTACATGTACCACAATCTTACAAATACAATATCTAGAAAACTTAGTGTGAACTTTTTTGACAAGGCGTCCATGTAATCTGACGTGCCAAATAAAACAACTAGTTTTACAAGCCCATTGGAATGCTTCAAGTCAAAGAGATTTAAGCAGACCAAAACTCCAAAGAAAGTAAACTAAGACACCTCCCCACCCGGGTCCCACCAAAGCATTCATCCTTTTGGCAGGAGAAAACCAACTCATCAACTTACTTTTGATTTGAAAATTCTTCATTCCAACGTTAGTCAGTCCTGCCGACATGTAACATTCCTTCCCAAACATCCCCTTTTGCAAACCTCTACAACTTTTCTTTTACATTCGTGTATTGTCCTGAGTTTACCTTCTTTAGATAACCAGCCTCCCTTTAAGACAAAATCCCTCTTTCCCCCTCAAAAAACATATTTCCATTCCTCATACTTTTTCTTACTAAAAACGTACCTCTTACTTTCTTTGCTTTCCAAATGTTTCTTTTTACTTCCAGTAGTCTGCATTACATATGCTAGAATTTTTAACCTGTAGAAACCTTCATATTTAAAGCAAGCTAGTCAGAAAGCAGTTGTGAGCTGTTCATTAGCTGCATTCTTTAGATTGATGATTTTATGAATACATTTCATAATTTCTAGAAATGTGTGCTGCTTCAAAAAACAATCTTTCAGTAAAGCACCAAATATGACTATGAACAGTTCCGAGTTTATCTTTGCTTTCCTAAAGCCAATCATTTACAAGCCCTTTTCCATAAATAGGGGAATAAGAGGGAAGGGTCAAGAAACAGGAGTACTTTGTTTTCGTTTTTTATATATATATATAAATTTATTTTTTATTGGTGTTCAATTTGCCAACATATAGAATAATACCCAGTGCTCATCCCATCAAGTGCCCACCTCAGTGCCCGTCACCCAGTCACCCCCAACCCCCTGCCCACCTCCCCTTCCACCACCCCTAGTTCATTTCCCAGAGTTAGGAGTCTTTCATGCTCTGTGTCCCTTTCTGAAATTTCCCACTCATTTTTTCTCCTTTCCCCTTTGTTCCCTTTCACTATTTTTTATATTCCCCAAATGAATGAGACCATATAATGTTAGTCCTTCTTCAATTGACTCATTTCACTCAGCATAATACCTTTCAGTTCCATCCACGTCAAAGCAAATGGTGGGTATTTGTTGTTTCTCATGGCTGAGTAATATTCCGTTGTATACATAAACCACATCCTCTTTATCCATTCATCTTTCAATGGGCACCGAGGCTCCTTCCACAGTTTGGCTATTGTGGACATTGCTGCTAGAAACATCGGGGTGCAGGTGTCCCGGCGTTTCATTGCATCTGTATCTTTGGGGTAAATCCCCAGCAGTGCAATTGCTGGGTCCTAGGGGAGACCTATTTTTAACTCTTTGAGGAACCTCCACATAGTTTTCCAGACTGGCTGCACCAGTTCTCATTCCCACCAACAGTGCAGAGGGTTCCCCTTTCTCCGCATCCTCTCCAACATTTGTGATTTCCAGCTCTGTTAATTTTCCCCATTCTCACTGGTGTGAGGTGGGATCTCATTGTGGTTTTGATTTGTATTTCCCTCTTGGCCACTGATGCGGAGCATTTCCTCATGTGCTTGTTGGCCATGTCTATGTCTTCGTCTGTGAGATTTCTGTTCATGTCTTTTGCCCATTTCATGATTGGATTGTTTGTTTCTTTGCTGTTGAGTTTAATAAGGTCTTTAGAGATCTTGGAAACTAGCCCTTTATCTGATATGTCATTTGCAAATATCTTCTCCCATTCTGTAGGTTGTCTTTGAGTTTTGAATTCCTTCAAGAGATGCATTTCTACTTCTCTTAAGATTTGTCAGGCCAATTGCTCTCAATCACTTGGAGTTCTTTTTACGTGAAATGATATCATAGGTTGATCCATCTAATCAAGTACACGAGCCTCAATTTGCTTCCTTCCCTCTGGGTGCATAGTTTTAATTTTAAAGGTTTCTGACATGTGGAGTAACACCCTTTGTGTGTTTCCAGGGTTCTCAAGTTGGTGCAAAGGATACTACCCTCCCAATGCTCAGAGTCACTCACAGTGAGAGCCGAAGAAGGAACCAACAAGCCACATGTCCCAAGCAGGCAGAAAGCTAAGGGCAGTTACACAGGATGACACAAGCAAGAAGGCAATAGCTCTCACTGTGAGAGAAAGGATCAATAACAAGGGTTTGAATTTGGAAAGAATGGGACAACAAGAAATTTTACTATCGTCTCTGGACCAGGCAAGTGGAGAGAAATTTGGAAGGAGCTACTTCTGTTAAGAGTTTCTACTCATCTCTGGCTTCTGCCAGTTTTTCTAGGATCTCTTGTGCAGGTCCTGGAACTTACCAGAATTTCTTCTTGACTGTTTAAGAGACTAAAGTACATAGCAATTTGCCAGGAACCACCCCGTTTCATCAACTGTGGAGGGGGCTCATTTGGCGGCTCTCCTATGAAGGTAGATATGGGGGTGTCTGTAAGGCTATGAAATAGCAGACTGCTGTTTGTGGCTGTGTAGTCTGTTCAGAGTGGAAAATCAATTCAGACTAGAATGAACCCACAACGTTGCCCAGAGGGGAGCAGGAGTAGTTGGATCCATCTATTAGTCTGTTTTAGGTACTTCTTCCACCTTTAGTTTTTTTATTAGCATTTTTCAATGAGTCTTTCAATCAAATGACTTTGAAATTTTATCTTATTTATTTATTTTTTTTAAAGATTTTATTTATTTATTCGAGAGAGAGAGAGAGAGGCAGAGACACAGGCAGAGGGAGAAGCAGGCTCCATGCAGGGAGCCTGATGTGGGAGTTAATCCCAGGTCTCCAGGACCAGGCCTTGGGCTGAAGGCGGCACTAAACCGCTGAGCCACTCAGGCTGCCCAACTTTGGAATTTTAAACATTTTGGAGGATTCTATTTAATTGGGGAACTCTTGCTTTTAAGGGCACGTCTTAACGTTCTCATCTAATTTGCAAGTTCCCCATTATAGGCATTATATTTCTAGGTTATCATTGCCCCGAGGTCTCGCAGCAGCTTGGCCTTTACATGAATAAAGACCAACTGTTACATGCACATTAGCGTATGGGCAGCAGGAGATGATACTGAGTTCTGGCCACAAGAAGACTCTGTGTGCACCAGCAATTCTCTGGATAATTGCTGAAATTTCCATCTGTGAAACTTGGTCTGAAAGGTTAGGTGCTTGGCTCTGGGCAGACCCTTCAGCCTATTCAGTTGGACTGTGCAAATACCCAGCTAAGTGGGACTCAGAGCAGACACCCTAGTAACTGAACACAGGCATAACACTCTGCCAGCCCAAGCTGACCTGCCTGTCAAGCAAAGCCAATTAGATTAGGAGTCAGAACACAAAGTGACTAGAGCTTGGAACCAGGGAGAACTCACCCACAGTGCTTGCACCAGGTGGGAAAGATCGTGAACTTAGAGGGCTCACGGTTACCACCTCTGTGTTTTGCTTTGCTTCTGAATGCCCTTTGGAGTCGACATAAGATTCCATCCTTGCCACCAAATCTGTTAACAAAATCAACCATGTACATGTTTACACTCTAATGGCTCTATTAGCCAACCAATGTATAAATCACACAGCATTCCATTTAGCAAGCAGTGGCAACTCCAAAGACTACAGGAGAGGAAAGGTTTTTAACAATAGGAAGTGGGTGGAAAATGGAATATTTAGCAAAGAATTCATTGTTTTAGGCAAAGTCACTCTCTCAAGGGGAAGAGAATGGGTCAATCAGAAAATTTCCCGGGGCTGACCAGGAAATTCCCATATTGACTGATTAAAGATTACTCCTATGGAAGGGGAGAGTTGAAATTGCATTTGGTTTAGGTATTAAGACTTGCTTTATTGCCTTGGGGCCATAAGCTAAGTGTTGCCATTTGGGTCTGTGGGTTTTTTTTTTTCCAATGCTCCAAGAACACAAAGACTTACTTCAGTAATTTAGACTTGTATATAGCAAAGCTCTTCATGGGTCTTGTTATGTGCTTGTTCCCCACTGCTTAAAAAGTGCTTATCAACCACAAGGAAAAACTAAAGTGCTTCCTACTTACGGTCCCTTTGGGGCCTTGGTCTGTGATGTCAATGCCAGGACTTGACTTTTGAGTCTAGTCAGTTAGTGGATCAGAGCGGGGCCAGGGCACATTGAGGCCATCTGCCCTCTTTATCTAAATATAACCAGTGTCTGCCCCAATGAGGCACTTTGGACAAATGCTTGAATCACAAGTGACCCTGGTTGATTAGGAAAAGTATATTCACTTGACTGCAGTGATCTTCCTTGGGACAGTAGTTCATCCTGCATCCCTTCCAGTCTGGCTCACACTAGAATTGCAATAAAAGTTTGCTTTGCAGTTTTACCAATGGTAAGAAATACATTCATTGTGTACAATGGAAGAATGTTAATATACCTTTGCTTCATTCAATGTTTACTTACTAAATTTCACCTAATATCACCTATACTGATATTTAAATTTGAATCTGAAAAATTCAAGACCATACTAAAATCTCAGTAGTCAAATTATTATTTCTGGTTGAGTTGTGATCCAGCTCCATGAAATCAACAGCATTTTGTCTCCTATAACTCATTGTTTATGGATGATACTTTGAGTAGAGCAATTCTGAAGTAAAAAGTATTTTGACTGCTATGTAGAACATTCTTGAAAGATGTATAATTGGTCTTATTTCCTGATCTAGTAAAGGTATCAAAAGGGACTCATTTGTTTGTTTCATATGTGAGAGGTTGCTAAGGGCTTTCACATGCACTGCTTCTAAATCATGCAATGATGGTAAAAACCATCATTGTGACATTAGTATTTTGGATGCCAAAACTGAGATGACAAAGGCTAAGTGTATTTGTCCTTTTCTTTTTCTCTGTAGGTTCCAAATCCCATACTGTTTTTTTTAAATTATATATATTTTTTGAGAGAGAGAGCATACTTGGGAAGGGGCAGAGAGAGAAACTCAATAACTCTGTGCTGAGCGGGAACCCGGTACAGGGATCCATCTCATGACCCTGAGATCATGACCTGAGCTGAATGAAGTGTCAGATGCTGAACTTACTGAGTCTCTCTGGTGCCCCAAAAGCCCATATTATTTGAAATCTATGGAGAATAAATAGCAGAATATATATGCACCATGAAGAGCAACATTATAGAAAAATTTCTAATTGCTTCTTTTCATTAATACTTGACAGAAAAAACAGGGTTTTCTCTTTGAAACAAAGGGTTCTGGGAGGTTATTCCTGTTTATATGTACATACCTTCATTTATTGAAGGAAAAGAATCTCTTGATTAACTCCTCCTCTACCGCTGTCATAGTTAACGATGCATTTGTGTTCTTTATCCATGGACACTCCAGTCACCGTCAGCCAGATGAATTTCATGTATGTGTCCTTAGGCTTCATAGTGCTTCCGTGCTGGGATTGCAGAACTGTTCTGTTATTCTTTTCTTTCCAATCTATCTTGATAACATCAGGGAAAAAAAATCTTCAAGAAGACAAAGATATGTTCCGGCCTTACAGACTTTTATTTCAGCAATTGAAGGAAGAAAAACTGTGGGTTTGGGGGAAATGTCTTCACTTGCACTTTTATCTGGGGAAAAAAATGGAATAACAATAAAAATGTAATGAGAGAAACACAAACATTTTGTGGTTTGGAACCACCCAGCACATAGTAAAAGGAAGGAAATGTTGTTGTAGCATTAGTGTGTCATAGCCCTTCATCCACAGTGGTTTATGATGTACTTATTTTCTTAGTTTCCACGGGAAAAGAGGTTCTCGTGTGTAACTTGCCCAAAGTCATAGCTATTAAGTAAAGAGCCTCAATCACAACGTGGAATATTTTGACACAACGCACAGTCACTTGTTTGAATTGGAATCTATTGAGTTGATCTTTTACTTACAAATATGGATCCCATACCCTCTTCTGAGTAAAGGAATTCTTCACCTTGATTTCTGATTTTATAGAACATCTCATTCTTGCATCTGAACCACTGCAGGATTTAGTGTAAGGCAAAGTGTATTGCTTCACCTCCAAATTATTTACAATACCTTAAATTTAGAAACAAAATGTCAATATTTCCAAAACTTCTCTTTAAAAAATTTACTGTAACTTCTTGCAAGATTCATCCACGAATGCAAAAGAAACAAAAGCAAAACTGAACTATTGGGACTTCATCAAGATAAGAAGCTTTTGCACAGCAAAGGGTACAGTCAACAAAACTCAAAGACAACCTACAGAATGGGAGAAGATATTTGCAAATGACATATCAGATAAAGGGCTAGTTTCCAAGATCTCTAAAGACCTTATTAAACTCAACAACAAAGAAACAAACAATCCAATCATGAAATGGGCAAAAGACATGAACAGAAATCTCACAGAGGAAGACCTAGACATGGCCAACACGCACATGAGGAAATGCTCCGCATCAGTGGCCAAGAGGGAAATACAAATCAAAACCACAATGAGATCCCACCTCACACCAGTAAGAATGGGGAAAATTAACAGAGCAGGAAACCACAAATGTTGGAGAAGATGCGGAGAAAAGGGAACCCTCTTACACTGTTGGTGGGAATGTGAACTGGTGCGGCCACTCTGGAAAACTGTGTGGAGGTTCCTCAAAGAGTTAAAAATAGACCTGCCCTACGACCCAGCAATTGCACTGTTGGGGATTTACCCCAAAGATACAGATGCAATGAAACGCCGGGACACCTGCACCCCGATGTTTATAGCAGGAATGTCCACAATAGCCAAACTGTGGAAGGAGCCTCAGTGTCCATCGAAAGATGAATGGATAAAGAAGATGTGGTCTATGTATACAATGGAATATTACTCAGCCATTAGAAACGACAAATACCCACCATTTGCTTCAACGTGGTTGGAACTGGAGAGTATTATGCTGAGTGAAGTAAGTCAATTGGAGAAGGACAAACATTGTATGTTCTCATTCATTTGGGGAATATAAATAATAGTGAAAGGGAATATAAGGGAAGGGAGAAGAAATGTGTGGGAAATATCAGAAAGGGGGACAGAACATAAAGACTCCTAACTCTGGGAAACGCACTAAGGGTGGTGGAAGGGGAGGAGGGGGGTGGTGGGGTGAATGGGTGACAGGCAGTGAGGGGGGCATTTGACGGGATGAGCACTGGGTGTTATTCTGTATGTTGGCAAATTGAACACCAATAAAAATAAATTTATTATTAAAAAAATAATAAAAATAAAGGGTTAAAAAATTAAAAAAATAAAAAATTTACTGATTATTTTCAAAAATGTTCTTATAGTATCTTAATCAAGTAATTTTGATTAGGGAATTTTGTTCTGCTTTAGGAAATGTTCACTAAAAGTACTTTTTATATTGGAATTTCATTTGAAATTGAAGCCTGAGTGAGAAGACACTGTATTTTGAGTCTAAGCATCCCTTCCTCAAATTTGAACGTGCCCTACAAACCTGCTGAACTTGTCGTATTACCCCTAAATTTTCATTCATTTAACATGCTGAGTAAAATTCTATATCAAAAGTTATCGTCAGAGTTTCTTGCAGATAGGATCATAACTTCCTTTACTAATGGGAATAAAGTGTTGGGTATAGCAATTGGACCTATGTCAATCGAGCATCGAGATTCATTCTTTCATTTGATCCTCATTGAAAATATGCCTTTCACACACCAGTTAATAGGGAATCACTTGTCTTATTTTATCCAATGCCTCTTCAGTGTTCAGAAAACCAAAGGAAACCTAGTAAAGCCTAACAATATGGGGTCAGTTCATGGAAATATTTCACCTGTCTTGCCCATAGCAAATTGCATTTTTTTTCCCACCAACATCACAATCTATGAGCATTCTAAGATCTCATCAGTAATTTCTACCTCAAACTGACTTCCAACCAGATCATGTCCAAAGTTTGGCTTCAAACTCCTACAGTTTTCCTTCATGATGGAATAACAAGATCAATGGCTGGTTGCCTGGTCCTCCAAACTTCCCTATTGTCACATGTGATCACTAGGCTGTTACCTTCGTGATTGGGTCTGCTGAAGGTCACCATCTATAAGTAACATTAAATGTCATGATGCCCATAGTAATGATGCAGTAATAGCATGAATTGCATTTGTTTAATGACTCAATTTGAATGTCTGAACTTTGACAACAGCAAATTTGAACCCTGATAACATTGCAACAAACTTCTAATGCAGTCTATCTCCTGATAAAATAAAATAAAATAAAATAAAATAAAATAAAATAAAATTAAATAAAATAAATTAAATTAAATTAAATTAAATTAAACATGCTCATCTCTTACTCTAGAAAATGATATTTCCGGTTGTTCCATCTTTATCTGCCCAAGGCCAACTGCAAGTAACGAAGAGAAATTCACATGAACAAATGAAATGGAAAAGGCAACAAGAAAGAATTTCTTGAGTCTCTTCTGTAGACTGAAGTGCCTGGGAGAAAACTCACAAGCCCAGAGGGTTGAGAAGATGACTACTTCCAGAACTGGCATTTTTTTGGCTTGGCAGGCTCCCCAGCAAAAAGGTAAGAAGTGAAGTGCCTGTAGCAGGACTTGTCAGGACAACGTCAGGAGGGTGGGACTGGTTCTGGGTTCTTAGAAGAAGTGGTGGCTTAGATAGTTGCCTGGCATTCTTCACAATCTGTCACAGATCTGAGCGAGTCGAGGGCTTTCTGTGTCCCATGAGTGCTGGGCAGATGCGGTAAGAGGATTCTCAATCTGAAAATAAATTCCTGGTAAACGTATCTGTATGGGGTGAGTCAGAACGTTTCTCACACCCACTCACACATTCACATACTACAGGAATCCCACACTACAGAAACACTGCTCAGTAATATGAGGACAGGTCTGCTGGACTCAGCCCATATGTCTATGTGTCTCTGATTTGCTGTTATTGGGAACTCAGATGGAAAACCTGACTCTGCTCTTCTGTCAACAGCACAACAGAACAAAATCAGACCCTGAAATATCTCTTTGACATTACTGAATATGCCATGTGCACAAGAACTGGAGGTTTTTTGTTTTGTTTTGTTTCTTAAAAATAGATTGAAATGTCATAAAGCAAATAGGGCTCAAAGATCAAATTTCATTTATAATCAAGTTCTTCCAAGAAGGGAGTAGGCCACAGCTGCTAGGGATACATGGGTCAGAGCAGTCTCTGGAAACCAGCTTCCATTCACCCTGAGCCTTGCAACTGCCTCATAAGCATGATGTCACATGTAGGATCACTTTCAAAGCAATGCTATGAGTATTATGTAATGATTCACTTTACAATTATTAGACATCTAATATGCATTGTGGACTTGAATTATTTTTTACTCCTCTCACAGTCTCATGTGATAACTGTTATGATAAATCTCCATTTTACAAATGAGGATGGTGTCAGTGAGACATAACTCATGAAAAGACACCCATTCGGTAAATATGACAACGTGTATAAATAACGTAAATAAAATCCATGTAAAATGAGATATAAAAATGATGATCCAAGGCACCTATCTTTTAGTTTTACTTTGAAATTTCTCTATGTATTTGTGACTAGAATTAGGATTGCTTGGTATATTATATTTACGTTTCAAGTGAGATTTGCATATTTGAACTTTCTCTTCTTTTGGTTAAATTATTACTGTGAGCAATATTCTAGGTATTTAAATGATCTATGAGAATAGTATTTTCTTGAATATGTGTAATAATCAGCCTCCTCTACCATTTAGCCCATTTATTTAACTTTATATATTGAAAATTTATCAGGATCTTACCAACTTTTCATGAAAATCGTTACCAATGGCCTATGAAAATCAATACCTCCTTATCTTACTTACCCCTTTGGATGTGAACTGAGGTATTTAATCTTTTTGTCTCAGTTTCTACATCTATGATTGCTGAAATATCTATCAAAATTGACAAAGTTACATTATCAGTTCAAAAATCAGAATGAACATAAAATATATGCACCTGATAAATGATAACAAACATAAATTAGATATTGTGGATAGCAATATTATGCCCTTTCTAAAATTTTCAACGTGTATTTTTATTATTATTGAAAAGGAAGAAAAATGACTTTCTGAAATACTTTCATTGTAAAAATTCTTGATCCTACTTTTATTTTAAATGTATAAAATCAATAAATAAGGAAGAAAAGCCCATCCTGTCTATCTGACAAATGGTATCTTAAAACTTCAATATTTATTTTCATATTCTTTCTTCCACTAAGATAGACATGGATGTAGTTGAGATATAATGTAGGAGTATGAACTTTAATATTTTTTCATTTTTGAGGTAAGCATTTTTCCTTTTATTAATCAATCTTAAAATGCTGATTTAAAGGCCTCATGTATACTGACTTTTGAATGAAGAATAAAACATTTGCCTCTTTTCATTATTTTAATATTAAACTTTTCACTAACTTTTCTAAGTCTCATACTGGAAAGCTGATTTAACTTGTCTCATCAGGACTGTTATCAGAAGACACTATGGTACGAAGTACACTTCTCTTCCATACATGACACAAGACAATGCAGTTAGCAAAGATATTTTGAGAATCAAAATAGTAATGTAGCAAAGATGTCTTCAGAAGCAGAATCCACACTTGCCATGCATTCCTTTTAGAAAGGGTTGGTTCTTTCTCATTCAGGTGTTCCACTCAGATCCTGGCCTCCAATTTTCCTCCATAAAAAAACTATAAGGGACTAGGAAGGTTCTGATCAGGCTCAAGAAAGCAAGGGTCTCCCCACAGAGAAACAGTCAAGGTCATGAACAGTGTAGGTTAAAATGACCATAAAGAACATGAGCCCAACTGAGGTGGGAGAAGGGCTGAAGGATCCCATGGAGTTCCATCTCTTGTATGTGCCTGGTCTGCAAATCCCTCTTTCCCCTGAGGAGATCTCAAAGTTGAACACTAGACTGTGGGGCCTTCAAATAGGGGACAGAGTGAATGAATCTGTTGATGTTCACTGGGGAATTTATCCTTCAGGTGAATAGCTCATATAGGAAAGTTGCAAGGAGAGATCTGTATTCCCACAGAAGCCCACTGCAGATTCTATGGTTAGAAATAGACTTTTCGCTGTTTTATGTTGAAAAGTCAATGAATAATGTATTGGCATTTTACTTATCCTTTGAAATAAGGTCCTGCACTTGTGTTTGAGCACATGGTAAGGATTTGTGTCACTTAATGTTCACTATCTGTTCTGTCTCTGTTGTGGGGTACGGTGCCTTGTTCCTTGTATTGTCCTGTAGTGAAGAAGTGGTTTAGTGGTTTAGTCTTGATTTCTGTGGAAATGAGAATGGTCTCTACTTGTCAGAAGCTGCTTTATAAACATACTTTCTCAGTATAATAGTTTAAAATACTGCATATTCTATAAATATTAAGTTTCAGAAGAGCAAATAATTGGGGTGCCTGGGTACCTCAACCAGTTAAGCATCTGACTCTTGATTTCTGCTCAGATTATGATCTCAGGGTCATGTTATTGAGCCCCACATCAGGCTTGCGCAGAGGTGGATCCTGATTAAGATTCTCTTTCTGCATATGCCTCTCCCATTCCCCCTCCAAAAAATGACCTAATATTAATGAGTACTTTGTTATTGATAGACTTTTTTTCCCCTAAACGTTGTTTACCTTTTCCATCTTCACAGCAATCACATGATACAGTGGCTTTAAATTTTCACTTACTAGATCAGGAGAGTGAGGTACAGAGGAGTGATGAGGGACTGAAGGAATGTCACAGGGCTGCTAAGCAGGACAAGTGGATAAGGTCTTACTTGAAGATGATTAGAGAAAAAGGATAAAGATGAAGATAAAAATTCCCATGAGCAGCTCACCATGAACAGCAACTGTCTCTATGAAGGAAGGACTGAAAAGATAGATCAATTTTAACAAATGTGACAGGCTGGATTTTAATTGACCTTATGAAAGCTGCAGGCATTTCTGTGATCTCCTTTATTAATAGTTGGAATGTCGGGAATCCCGGGTGGCTCAGTGGTTTAGCGCCTGCTTTTGGCCCAGGGAGTCCTGGGATCGAGTCCCACGTCGGGCTCCTGTCATGGAGCCTGCTTCTCCCTCCTCCTGCTCTCTCTCTCTCTCTCTCTCTCTCTCTCTCTCTGTCTATCACGAATAAATAGATAAATAAATCTTAAAAAAAAGAGTTGGAATGTCATAATACTGTACCCTTGTGTATTGGATTAAAGAACATCAAGAACACAGAATTGGATTCATCATAATACTGGTTCATAAAGCACTATCATCATTTATCTCCACAGAGATCTCATTATTTTATTCTACTTTGGTGATGTAGAAATAACTCAACAAATACCTCAGAATCCCTGACTTAACTGAAAAACAGAAGCATTAGAAATAATCTGCATTTTTTCCTACTAAGTGTATCAACTAGAAAAGTACAAAGTTAATGATAATCTCTCAATTCTTGTCCCATTCCTGTTTTGTTACTGAAGGAATAGGGAACATCCTGTTCTGTTAGGTATGGGAACTTGGTGGCTTTGTGGAAAGTGAAATGAAAGGAACTAGACAAAATCTCCCAACTCAGGGGGGTACTTGACGGGATGAGCACTGGGTGATATGCTATATGTTTGCAAATTGAACTCCAATGGAAAAATAATAATAAATCTCCCAACTCTTCAACTTGCTTTACTACTTTGGGGGCAAATGCAATCCACTTATTTGACTGCTTAATTGCATAGTTTTGCTCCTCCAGATAGAGAGTCTACCTCTCTTACTTTCCCCTAGGCATTAGGAGGTGGACCCTCTTGGAGTGCACAGATGGTTTTTATTCTCTGGTTGCTGTTTGGAAGCAGCCAATGGAAGCATCAGCAAGAAACTGGGAAGTAGGAGCAGCATGAATGTAGGGTTCTCTCCCTGAAGGGGGTCTGCATCCTCCCAGGGCCAACATATAGTGCCATCTGCCCCATACCCAGAGGCTTATGCTCAGGAACCCAGAAGTGCAACTGAGAGAGGCCCTTTATACCACTCTATCCACTGGAGAAATTTGTTTCTTTATTCCAGGGCCCTGGACCCAAAGGCTTGGAAATCTAGTGCCCATGAAGAAATGCTTCAGTAGGTGACATGATGATTACTTGAACTTTAATTTCCATGGAGCAACTTTCCATTGGAAATCAGAGCAGAGATTCCCATTACTGTAATCCACAGGAGTTAGGTTCCTGGGGCAAAGAGCAATGGGGAGAAAAGTGGAGCATTGATCCTGAGGAGGAAACAGAAGTTTTCCCAGAATCCAGTCTTTGTGTCCCTCCATATCCATGCTTGTTCTTTCCCTGGAGGAGAAATCCGTCTCCAAGGCAGGGAAAAATGCAACATCCTGCTTGAAAGTCTATCTTCTTCTCAATTTCCAGATGAATATTTGAGGCTGAACATCTAGCAACCTTCACTGAGCAGATCATGTTTTCAGAAATTGGAAGTGAAACAACTTTGTTGTTTGTTGTATGTTGAACATAACAGTGTTTACATGCAATTCTGCTTGATATGATCTCATTCCTGTCTCTGCATCTAGACGAAGGAGAGGTAAAGAACCCTGTAAAGAATTTACAGTAATGTTAATAAGAGGACTATTTGTAGTACCTGACACTTATCCTACACAGGGGAAAGACATAAGCAGCCCAAGAAGGTCCTCTCAGCTCTCCAAGCATGAACTTTGTCTCTAACTTGGCTGATGGAGTCGGTGAGAATCAGCAGAGAAAACCAGATTTTTGTTTTGTAAATGAAGCTAAGATTGTGAAGAGGGGGAGAAGTAGTGGTCAAGAGAGAGATTATTACACACATTTCTAAACATCAGATTTAATATATTGTATCTAAGTGCTCATTAATAATCAAGAACTCTAATGTTAAGCCATGTGGATTCTTTTAGAAATAAATTTTAAAATATAATTCAAAAGCCATACAGGTTTTCTATGGGACAATAAGGGTATGGAAGTGACATAGTAAAAGGTCTCCTGATCCCAATGTTTAGAAGTGACCTCGCCCAGTTGTGCCCTTTCCTCTGTACAAGACTGTGTCCCTGTACCCATTCTGGGTATGGAACATAAAGAGCTCCCAACACAAAACAGTCAACATGGATTTTCAGGTTTGCCAAGAAATTTTTAGATTTGTGATTTTTAGAAGGTGACTCTGAGGTAACAGACATGACTTTTTCCACAGTACTAGCATGTGTGTGATCAGTTGGTAATGGATAACTATGAAATAATGATTTTTTAAATAAGTTCTTAGTCCTGCTCAGCATTATTTTCATAATATAATGCTGCTTCTATAACTCAAAATCACTGTGTTTCACCCACCTCAGGAGTGAAATAAATGAGTGGAGCCCAAACCATCAGAGTATTTCAAGTATCCATCTATACAAAATCCCCTACCCATGAGGTAATGTGAACCCTTCTCTAATAGTAAAAATATAAATCTCACTTCAATAGACATTAGTAGGTCTGCCACTGGAATCATTGCTGTGCATTCTGGGATGATGCCTTTAGGGCCATCTTGGTGGGTTAGGGGTTAAGCATCTACTTTTGGTGCAGGTTATGATCCTGGGGTCCTGAGATCCAGCCTGACATCAGGCTCCCCACAGGAAGCCTGCTTCTCCCTCTATCTATGTCTCTGCCCTTCTCCCTGTGTCTCTCATTAATAACTAATTAAAATCTTTTAGAAAATAGAATATGTTTTTAGTGTTTTTATGCATCAGCCATTTAAACAATCATTTAATTAGCAGACATTTCCTTAGGACAGGAGGGCTGTGTGTGCCCTAGAGCTCTTTGGTGAAGTTCACCTTATCCACGAGGAGAAAGGCAGTGGGAGGAAGTGACTCCAAATACTGATTTGTTTTACCCTCCACTTAGGGGTTGTTTGCTCCATGCACTAGGCCACTGTCCTCTCAGGATGTAACTCAAAGGTACTATGGAGCCATGTTAAAAACTAAGATTTGCATTGATTTTGGATGACTTCTCATGACAGTGTCTTCATATTTGGCTACTTTCTCTCTAAATAAACTGTAATAGTCACGCCTCAGATTCACTCCCCTATGAAGTCAGGCACTTAGAAGGAAAGGGGTCAGTTATATAGGAAATGGGAAGATAAAGGAAAGAACATCCCCAGAACAGAACAAAGGTAAATTTCTGCCCATCCACCCTCATCTCTTCCTATACATGCTAGAGGGCTTGGCCTTGACCCAGGCCTTCAGTAGAGTGTTGGGTTGTTGGTTGGGATCTTTCACAGTCATGCCTGTCTTAAATATAAATCTCTCACCAAAAAAGCAGAAGTTCAGAGAGATAGATGAGGAGTTAGTGAATCTGAGGGACCAATTTCCTTCAGATGATGTAGACTTTCCTTCCAGTAATCGTTTTCACCAATGCAATTACGTTTTACATATAATTTGAATTTTCAATTGAAAATACATTCATTTTAGCTTAGACCTCCTCAGAGACCTTTTTCTTCTTCCCCACAACAGCCATAGGAATTTTCCTCTTTGGGGCTAGAGAATCAGTGATATACCTCTTCTTTTCTTTTGCTTTCTTTCTTTCTTTTTTTTTTGGCAAAAATTTAACTACTACTTTATAAGAAGTTAGTAAACATAGTGATATCTTATTGGTAAAATTTTTGTTTAACACAAAAATCAGCCACATTTCTGTCAGCTAAAGTACTTCATTTTACAGAGGAGAGAACAGAGGTCTAGGGAATCTGATCTCCAAATCCCATATACAGTAGCATTTAAGCAGAAGCAGAAGGTGGAGGATTCCAGGTCTCCTTTAGGGCTGATGGATCCACTGCATGAGGATCATGTCCCCCCACAGGAGCTGAGCCCCAGACATGCCAATGCACGAGGGTGCTGAGAAGTTAGCCCTCAGCTTCCTGAGCCTCTGCTCCCTGACTCTCCACTGCAAGTAACTAGCAGGGGGCGGGGCAGCAACATAGAAACTGGAATCAGGAGTTGACTCCCAGTCTCAGCTTTCAAACATTTTGTGGTAAATCTCCAGAGTGTCCTTCACTCTTGAAATGATTTACACCATGTTTTATTACCACATTCTTCATGGAGGTGGTCAGATTCTTTAATCCCCAGTATGTCACAGCTCTGTTAAGTAGAAATAAATAAGAATCACAATTGGAGACACAAATATTTTCATACTGCTGCATTTTAAAAAGCTAAAGAATCAAATAAGATTCTAGGATTTCTTTTATTTACTGTGAGATATCAAAAATAGTATTTTGACATCTAATCAATATAGAAATTACTAAGAAGATATTTCACTTTTTTAGACTCCAGAATAGGACTTGTATGTTACACAAGCAGCCATCTCAGCTTGGACTAGTGCACTAGCTACATTTCAAGTGTTCAACACCCACTTGTGCCAAGTGGCTAGTGGCTACTACATTGAGTAGCACAGATTCTGCTCCAAATGCCTCAGAAACACTACCCTGATGATCTTTAGAAAAGTCCCTCCAGGCTGGACAGCTCCCTGGGTCTGAGCCAACCTGAGCATCAGGGGCTGCTTAGCTTCCAGGGTTATGTATAGTGAACCCAAGGAGGAGACACCCACCAGAAGACAGGGTGCTGAGAACTGTCCCCAGGACAACTCAGACACCTAGAGCCAGAGGAAGCTGCCAGGCATGAATCGCCCTGGGAGATGGAGACCTATTTGTGCAGGGGCCAGGGCAGCAGGAGTGGCTGTGCTCTTCCCAGGCAGCGCAGTAGTACATGCCTTCGTCGCTCTTCTCCAGCTTCTGCACCAACAGGTTACAGTTGTAACTGTTCTTGTGCATCTTGGCATTGACTTTGTCCATGTTCACAGATGCATCCCTCTGCACAGATGAGCTGTATGTGTGTATGTAAAGGAGTCTCCTAGGGGCAATACCCTCCCTGTGGAAGTACCAGTGGATGTAGTAGACTGAGCTATCCACTGTGCACGGTAGGGTGGCCGAGGTGCCCAAGCGCCCCACGACCACAGGAGTCTGCTCAAGCTTGAGTCCTGCTCCACCACCTGAGAGAGGGATAGTGAGACAGCAGTGAGACAGGGATGGTCAGGAACTTCAGGGGGCCCCCATACCCCACACTGTGGAGGGAGTCAGGACTTACCGGGAAACAGGAGGGCACACAGGACAGCAAGGGGACCCAGCATGGTTCAGCTTCCTGCCTGGTGGAAAGAAGCCCAGAGGGACCTCGTGGCTGTATCTGTTGGCAGGAGACTACCTTGGTGCGTGACAGAGAGCCAGTTAAGTTCTGAGCCTCTGCTTCCACGAGGCACCTGAAAGTTCTCACAAGGAGAGAGAGGCCATAAGGAGGTGCCAGAGGGCAGGGACAGATCTGACCACAATGGGGGTGGGAACATAGTGCGCAGGGTGCTGAGAAACACTGAGCAACGTTGGTGCATGGCAGCACCTGTGAGAACAGCAATCCTTGATTGGACATCCACTACATCTGAGCACCACACTAATTGATTGCTGCTCATTGTTTGATCAAATCCTGGAATGATCCCTTGGGATGAATTCACCCTTGGGATGAATGCTACTTCCCTCACTTTAGAAATGGAGAAAGCCTGGTTGATCATTTAAGTAACCTTTCCAAGACTGCATGTCTACAGGGTATTGGGTGAGGATGTTCCCAAGTCTGGCTGGAGATGACACTCAAGCCTCAAATGGCTACTTGTTACTAACAAGGGGAATGTGTGTGCAGCTCGCTTGGGAGGCAGGCACAAGTGCAGAGCTCTCTGCTGAAAAGGCAGCAGGTTCCTTGAGCTAGCATTGGAGTATTTCTCCAGAGATCTCATTGGATGATTTAAATGTCCTAACATAACATGATAGCTGTGTAGTCTTGGGCAAGCTGTTTCTACTCCTTTTCCTCCTTTGTCAAAACGGACCTCATTAGTTGCATGCAGTGTGAACAGGGAAGGAGAGCAAAGCATGTAGTTTGTCCCAGATGCATAGAAAATGCTCAAGAAGTGGTGGGGTTCTGGATTGGTTGCAGGAGATGATTTCAGGAGTCCTCATAGTGTAGAGTTATAGGGAATATTATAATTTGTAAAATCAGGGATGTTTGTGTGGGGGGGTGGCCAAAGGAAGAAAACTACATTGGGCCAAGGTGTAGTGCAGGCTTTGGGTAGGACCAGGTGCTGCAGTTCCAGGGTCAGGTCTTCAGATATGTATGATAAGGCAGGGCCTCAGGAAGGGTCAGCTGAGGAATGCATCTGAAATGAAGCTTTGAGAAGTCGAGGTAGCATTGTCTTCCATCTGAAATGAAGGTTCCATTTCTCTTATTCCAAGTATAGGAGGGACTCCTTGGTGTAGTTTTGGCAATTAGTTATGTTAATGATAACCTGTCAGCCTGGAAGGAGATGGTAGTGGGGGTGGCCCAGAAGGGACTTGGCTAGGCCAGGGAAGCTTGGGCCCTTCAGTGCTCAGTACCAGACCCAGCTCCTGAGCTCCTCCTCTTGGTAAAAACTGAAAGGCAGATATGCTGAGCTATAACCAAGATTGAAAGCTCATGTGTCCCCAAATGCAGGCTTTGAGGTTTTGCTGAGCAGGTGAGGTGGTGATTAGAAAACTCTGCTAAAAGAATATTCCAGGCTCATAATTCAGGCCCTCAGCAGGTATCTAGGGCAGCTGGGCTAAAATGTTAAGTAGGAGACAGAGTGACAATGGGGGTTAAATCTGCACAGCAATAGGACCTGTAGAAAGAATCTCAGTATCAAAGGTGAGCAATGTGGGTGATGAGAAATATAGTGAACTCTTTTGTTCCTACTTTCTTCCTTTTATAGATTTTCACCAATTAGTTTATCTTATTTTCAGGAAGAAAATTCACCACATTTGTCTTCTTTTAAGGAAATAAATTATATTTCTTATTGTCAGCCCTGAATACGCTGTTTCTCTCATTGCTGTTACCATTTGTTTCTAAACACTGATGACATTAAAGGCTCAACACCTGTTGGCCATGAACACCTTAGTGTGTATTGAAGTCTGTCCCATACCTCCACCCAAATACTCTCCTAGGTGTGTCAAACAAGATAGCGAAACAATTTAGTCTGTAGAGTGTGGTGTGCTTTATTCAAAGGAAACAATCCACGGAATGGGCAGTTCAAGGCCACAAGCGCAATGGAGCACTCTGGTCTAGGGATGCAGGGCAAATGGTAGTATTATGAACATTAGAAGCAGCCCAGAGGGAACAAGCAGGATGAGCTGGGAGGTCAGGGATTTCCTCACAAGGCTGGCAGTTCAGGCAGCTGTATGGAGATAGTATTTAGCTTAAATTTATTGGCTGTTGTGTATCTGGTCTTATGTACAACAGGGGAATCATTACACATATTTGGTGTTTGGACCTGATTAGCTGGGATAGACTATGTTTCTGGTCAAGGGAAGCATTTAGGGCAGCCCGGGTGGCTCAGCAGTTTAGCACCACCTTCAGCCCAGGGCCTGATCCTGGAGACCTGGGATCAAGTCCCACATTGGGCTCCCTGCATGGGGCCTGCTTCTCCCTCTGCCTGTGTCTCTGCCTCTCTCTCTCTCTGTCTCTCTCTCTCTCTGTCTCTCTCTCTGTGTGTGTGTGTCTCATGAATGAATGAATGAATGAATGAATAAATAAATAAATAAATAAATAAATAAATAAATAAAATCTTAAAAAAAAAGGCAGCATTTATAGGGATGGGATAGTTCCCTAAGTTTTCGTTTGCTGACTTGGCACCCCAGAGTCTAGAAGGTCCATGCTGGGCCTGGAAATGCATTTCAACAGATGACAATTGTTTTCCTGTCCTCTGCTTCTCTTCCTGCTGTGGGTGCATCTGTGTTCTACTCTACATGGCTCTAAAAGATCATATTTGTTAAAACATGTACCTTTTTTTAAGAAGTATTAGGAGGGGCCCCTGGTTGCTCAGTGGTTGAATGTCTGCCTTCCACTCAGGTTGTGAGCCCAATATCCTGGGATCAGTTCTTGGATCAGGCTCCTCACAGGGAGCCTGCTTCTCCCTCTGCCTATATCTCTGCCTCTCTCTCTGTCTCTCTCATGAATAAATAAATAAAATCTTTAAAAAAAGTTTTAGGAAAAACCATTCTAATGTGACACAATAGTAGCCTCATAAGATGTTTGGGGGGTATCTGCGCAAGACCCCCTGTCCCCAGGAAGAGAGAAATCAGGTGGCTGTGGAGGGAGCAGTACTTCCTGGCCTCCCAGGTTATCTTGCTGTAGCCATGAATGCAACTGCTCTGATGCCCCCAGACCTCAGCCCCAGGGGAGAGGCAGGTGGGTCAGAGCAGGTGTGGACTCAGGCAGACCCTGTGCAAAGAGTCAGGTGATGAAGCTTCAACCTTTTCCTTTAACCTCTGAGAGGCTGGCCTGCTCTCCCTGACCTGGGACAGCTCCCTTCTGACCATGGGAGAGTCTGAGATCTAATCCAGTTTGACTTCTTCACTAGATCACAGGAAATAAATTGGATGTACATGTGATGTCAGTGCTTAGAAAACTAGACAAGCCCAGAAAACCCGAAATGGGAAAGTCATTTGTATAATTTGATGAGAGGATTGTAGATAAAATATTATTTCTTTCATCCTCAATTTACATGTTTGTAACACTTTGTGTTGAATACATACTTTTTCTTAAAAATATTTCTCATTTGTTAGATTAGTAACCCCATTCTTTGAACTTAAATTCAGTTTGCTAGCATATAGTATAACACCTAGTGCTCAGTCCATCAAGTACCCTCCTCAGTGCCCATCACATAGTTACCCCATCTGCCCACCCACCTCCCCTTCTGCAACCCTTTGTTTTTTTTCCATAGTTATGAGTCTCTCATGGTTTGTCTCCCACTCTAATTTTTCCCCACTCACTTTCCCTCCTTTCCCTTATAACCTCTTTCACTATTTCTTATATTCCACATATGAGTGAGACCATATGATTGTCCTTCTCCTATTGACTTATTTTACTCAGCATAATACCCTCCAGGCCCATCCACGTTGAAGCAAATGGTCTTTTCTGATGGCTGTGTAATATTCCATTGTATATATAGACCACATCTTCTTTATCCATCGTCAAAGGACATTGTGGCTCCTTCCACAGTTTGGCTACTATGGACATTGCTGCTATGAACATTGGCATGCAGGTGTCCTGATGTGTCACTACATCACTATCTTTGGGGTAAGTACCCAGTAGTGCAATAGCTGGTAACCCTATTTTAAAACCAGTTTGTAGGTAGTATCCTCATATTCACACTTCCCTATGGAACCACAGAAACTTACACACTTAAAGATGAAATCATGAGCTGCTGCAGTAGGATTAGAACCCCCACTCCAACCTCTCTACTGCGGGCACCTCTCATTGAATGGATGTGGCATTTCAAATTCAGTCACTACATGCAGACCACATGTCAGGTATGGGGCCAAGCTCTTCTTCGAACAGAAACTTTTTGGAATCCTTGAAAATAAGAAAACTCTGTGATACACATTAGTATTCTCTAGGAACAGAGGATGACAGGCTAAACATTCCTCACATTGAGCTTTTTAATATAGTGTAACAAATCTGCTCATTTTTAAATGGGCGTTATTAGAAGAAATTAGGATCAGTTGTGTTGGTCCACATTTGATTCTCCTCCAAAGATACGTGGAAATGTGTCTGAGTGTGTGTAAGTATATGTGGTCGTAGAAAATTAATTTGCTAGATAATATCTCTTGCTCCTCAAGGAAAAAGGCAGCCTCACATAGGGTTGCCAGATTTCATGGGAAAACAAGTATAAAATACTATACTGTAGTTGTACATAAACCATGAAATTGTGTATGGGGGTGGGGGGAGAGAATTTCTTTTAACACCTAAAGATAATGAGGGCAGTGAGGAAAGTTTCCGACAGGTTGCTGAACTCAGGAATCTCTCTCACATGCCAGGAACAAGGAGCAGAAGCTGTTCTTGAGGAGCCGTCATTCAGGTAACGGTGCTGGACTCAGAACGTAGGAGAGATTCCTTAAGCCTTTGTGAATTAACAGTTGCTTTCTTTTGTGACGCTATTTTTTCAAAAGTCATAACAGTAATCATTGAACCATTAAATAATAACAAATGCACTCTATTGAGTGTCACACGCTGTACACACCGATTCCCTCCCTGCAAGCCTCAAGCAGGTGTCATTCATCCCATTCTGCAGATGAG